TCCGGATTTACTTGTAAAGGATTAGTACAAACAAAGAACCAATAACAATTTTCTTTCTTAATTATCTAGTGGAAGCACGTAAAGCACTTGCAGGCTATTTAGGTTTAGAAGCATAAAATGATTACACCAAGGCCGAAAAGTTTTCACATTTCTTTCATTCAATTTAAGTTTGACGCATCAGCTTCCGCGTCATTGCAGCAGTTTCAGATTCTTAACCCGAGGTTGTTTCATTACCTCTCTGGAAGGCGATGCGCGCTCAAAAGAAGAGGTGTAGTACTTACACTCCTTGTCCTATATATAAGGTGCCTGAAATACGCAGGCTCGAGCTAAAATGGGCCGTGAAAGTCAGCGCGTCTACGTAGCAATCTAAACTTTTAGTCAGAAATGTGTTTCCCAGGTCGTTTTATCAAGCAAACTTACAAAGCGTAGCTTCCTTTCTGTCATAAATATGGCCAAAGAACTTGCCAGTGTCAACTGCGGATGGTGGCGCAGACAACCGAGTCGATTGGCGGGGCGCGTTTGGCGGACGTATGGACGCAGACAACCAAGTCGAGTGGCGTCGGGAGCAGCCTCGGAAAGTGTTGCCGACCACCGAACAGAAGCAAAAGGCACACAGAGCAAATCCGTCGACAGTAAGAGAGCCTTTGGCGCCGTCGTTATGCAACCGCGTTTTCTTTTATTTTTGTAACTTCTAGTTTTGCTGTACTTGTACGCGTTTATTTTTAAGCCAAATACATTACACAAAGTTTGTGTCAATTTTAATAGACCACGGTCGTTGCGATCAGTCTCGATAAGAAGTTAGCGCCACCTATCAAAACGTTCGCCAAACACGCCCCACCACTCGACTTGGTCGTCTGCGTCGACGTCCGTCGTAGACCCTAAAAAGCTTTTTGGCCCTATCTTTTTACAGAAAAGAAGCTACGCTTTGTGATTTCACAAGATAAAACCTACGTGTGAAATACACCTTTGACGAAAACTTTAGATTTCTACATGCAGGCGTCAAGTTTTACGGCCTATTACACATTGAGCCCACATAGTTGAAACACCCTATAGAATACGCAAAGATCTACAATTCGACGTTTAGTCCATTGGCGTCGAGCCGACAATACAAACTTTCAGGAGCGGCTTGATAGTCGAGTGATACAACTATCAAAATAGCGAATGAACGCTTTAAAGACGACAGGAAACACTAGAAGATTTGTTGACCTTCCTGCAAAAGCCTTGTTTTTTGTAGTTTCTGATATGTACGTTAGCTATTTAGTAAGTTATATCACACAGCTATCAAGCCGCTCGTAAAAGTTGGTATCGTCAGTTCGACGTCAGTGGAGTATCAGTCTTCAATGTAGTGTCTAATTTGAAAACTATCAATAGCTCAGCAATGCGAAACAACGTGTGGATATAACGCTTGTTTTTCACCAAAGGCATAACAAATAGCAACCTTTCCGCAGTGTACGCTGTTTCATGTTTAGACGAGCACTTTCAAAGGGGCAACGGTATCGTAATGAATACAACGATGTCAGCCCTTCTCTTTGTCGTTCAAGCGATGCTGGCAGCGGCATTCACCTCAATGTCGACCTCGTGGAAATCATCTGGATTGCGACGGCCTTTGCATCGTCGCACCAACTGACTGGACTACTTTCCCGGCGGTACCAACGACCGAGCTACAAAACTTGGACGACAAGGTATATGGTGTCCGGCAAACGGGGACGTCAACAAACGACCATCTGGACACATGGCTACTGAAGTTCGCCAGTCAGCGGGGCCAGTCGGTGCACGGCATCGCATTGGAAACAACTATATCAGCGTTTCACTTCGTCGTTCAGGTTAATTACGTTCCCCATTCTCCCTGCTGCCAGAGTAGTGACATCTGTTTGATCGCGATGTCGTTCCGCTGCGAAGTTCTTGAGTAACCTCTTCGTCTGTTTGTGTTCTTGGCGCAGAGTGCTCGTTATGTTTACTTAGCGTTCCTACCTCTGGAAATATCTGGGGACATTGAAACACACCCTGGTCCAGGCAGTGAGGAATCCTGAGTGGCCGACATTCTGAGCCTTGCAACTAGAATTGAGGTTGGTCAAAGTCACATGCTTGTCGAGATTAAGAAGCTTCAGGACGCCCAATCAACAAGGCATTGGCAGTAAAGTGCCTTAAAGAAAAGGTAGCGGCAATAAAAGCAGAGCTGAACTCTATGAGAATACCTTCGGAAGAGAGCGCAAGCAACCCGAAAGTTTCCATCAAAGTTCCATGGGACATATCGTTAGTTATTGCGAGGTGCGATAACGCCGAAAACATACTCCGAACATCGAAATCGAACCTCTTGTTCTTTTGTATTCTTAACGTGTAAACTGAAACTTGGAGTGAATCGGAAGCGATAATTTTGAGTTAATATAAACGACGATTGGAAATTAAGTTTGACCTGACCGACGTCGAATCGTCGCATAGGCTTGGAAAATTTTCACCCGATAAAAATCAACCTATCATTGCCACGTTTCTGCGCTACAAATATAGACAAAACATCCTCTCTTCGGGCTTTAAACTTTAAGGATTCTGAGTATTCCGTAAGGGAAGACTTATCGGAGTCTGTCCGCTTCGCTCGAAATAAACTTGTTTTTGTTGGCTCGATCGCAGAATGGAACATTCAAAATCCGCTTTGCTAACTTGAACACCATTAATAAGTGATATAAATATGACGCAACTTCCGACTTTGTTATTGAAGTCTCTAGATAGAGGAACACACCTAACGTCACTCCCCTTCGTCCAGCTGTACACGCGAAGCAGGGAGAATGTTCCAAGTACATTGTTCCACATACTAATATACGCAGCGTTATGCCCAAGTGGGATAAACTTACTTCATTCATTTGTGATAACTCTAGCGTTGTTATTTTAACGGAATCTTGGCTGAAACCCGAAATAAACCCGAAAACTGCATTTCACTTTTCCTAAGTGAATCGCAGTTTGACATTTATCGATGTGATAGGCCTGAACAACGACGAGGGAGAGTGCTTATTGCAATAAAAGATGGGTTTCCTCATTTTGTGTTTGAACCTGTCCTGTCTGTCTATGCTAGATCGCAAACTCAACGATGAAGTTAACTCAATCGGTCGCTGATTGGCTGGTCTCTCTGGTCACGTGACGTGACGTTTCAATGAAGTTTGTCCCTAGAAATTTTGAGCTCAGCTCGTGAAATAATAAAGTTACGGTGACGTCAAAATGTCGTCACGATTGAGTTCGCCGATGAAGTTAACTTTGTAGTAGGACGGGAGCAAAAGTTGTTCTCCATCAGTCAAAATGGCGACGCTTACGTACGGGGCTCTCCTGTTACGTTCGCCCACGGAGCGCGTTTTCCGGGACCACCGCGACGCATTCGACGTCTCCGAGGCAAGATTCGTCGGGGAATACCGCCTCACGAAGGGCGCCGCTCGCTGGCTATGCGATGAGCTTCGTGGGAAGCTCCAGCGGCGTCGCGAGGGGCCTCATGTTTTGACTGTAGAGCAGCAAGTGCTCCTTGCTCTACGCTTCTATGCCGCTGGCGGTTTCCAGGGCACAGTGGCCAGTGACGAGAATATTGCGGTGCATCAGTGCACTGTAAGCCGCGTTCTGCACGAGGTGACAAATGCGATCATTGATCGCCTCGGCCCGAGCTGGGTAAGCTTCCCGTTGACGGACGCAGAAAAGGAAGAAACGAAGAAGTTCTTCGCACGGTGCAAGTTCAGCGGTGTGATCGGTAAATACTCATTTACGTATACATGTCTCAACATTGAAGAACGATTTCCGATGCGCTTACTCGACAGCGTTCAGTAGAAATTTGCGTAGCCATAGAGGACCCTTGATAAAAGAATTCCACATCCCACGTGCGTTTCGTGGTTTGTTTCCCGTTCTTTCCCTTCCTTTCGGCCCCTGCCGTACGTAACGCGCCTCCGCGCCGACAGCTTGTGTTCATGGTGCTTGCGTGAGAGCGATCATTTCAAGCGACGCATTCAAATGACATGACGGCACGCGAATCCTCATTGAAATGTCTCGCACCTATGGAAATTGGCCATATACGGGGGCGGACCCAAGGTTCCTAAATTGTTGTCAAAATTGAAGAATATTGAGAAAATTTGCTAGCTAATCAAGGTAGCGGAACAAGGGTACGTCTCGGTAGTCTTAGTTCTTGTTTCTCTGCGTAGATTGTTAGAGCACCCAATAAAAGGGGCATAGCTCGTGCAGAAAGAAATATCTTGTGCAGTTATTAGTGTTTTTATTTTTTTTGCATTTGAAGGGGAACAATACAAAGGACATCCATGCTGGTCTGATGGTGTAGGGTGTCAGTCCCCAGTGTATGACACTCTAGCTAAGTGGCGCAGGTGCTTAATAACCTTGCATGGAGGCTAACTGAGTGGCAGGTGTTTCCGCAACAATAATAAATTGTGACTGGCAAGGTGGAACACATACCCAAGAGCCAAAACGAGGACTTCTCAAACCAAACCATCTGCCAGCTCATCTATTGGTAGGAAAAGAGTACCGTGGTGCATATATGTAGAGAATGAGTAAGGATCAAAGCTGTATGTTGGGCTAGTTGGTATTGGTCTTGCGTTGCCAAAGGCATGGTAGCGCTTTTTTGGACGAGGACAAAAGAAAGACAAGACAGACACGAGCGCTCGTGTCTGTCTTGTCTTTCTTTCTTTTGTCCTCGTCCAAAAAAGCGCTACCATGCCTTTGACAACCCAAGAGTAAGGATCGCAGCTCTATTTTTTCGAAGTCCCCTAAAGTTGCACAGACTTCACGACCACCCCTCGTAAAGCCAGTTCCAGCAGACAGCCTCCATTTTCCCAATTGCACTTGCCGTAACGCATAATTCCAGCCCTCGTACCTGAAATTGTGATAAATTGATGCGTAATTTGGCTATGAAGGTGCTAAAACCATATTGTGTTACAGGATGCATCGATGGAACCCAAATTGCCATCCGGGCTCCATCCGAGAACGACCAGAGGTTTGCGAAAGCCGCTTACTGGTGCCGAAAACACTATTATGCGCTAAACGCTATGGTGGTGAGTATTCACATGTTAGTTGCAGATGGCACACTCAAGCTCAATTCACTAATGCATCTCTCACAATGGTCACAACATGCGAAAGAGCATTGTCATGCAACAGAATCACACCAGATAAAAGCATTCCGAGTCGCTGATTCCTAAAAGCTCTGTGCAGCTTTATGAATGTGTCCTTGTAGCAGTTTACACCGATGTTCACGTCGGCCCCTGTAAACTCCGCCAACAAATGCTCTTTGTGGTAAAAATGGGGAGTACAACCAATTACCATCAAAAGCCTGTGACTTGCATTTGTTTGTGTTTTGGGGGATGTCTCTTTTGCATGCTGGCTGTTTTGTTGCTGGCCACTGTGCGTAACAGAAATGCTTCGCCCTGTTTCATACCGCAGCAAGTGGTTTAAACTCAAGCCTATGTGTTCTTCCTTAAGGTGGTCAGTAAGCACTTGGGATAGTGCGCTTCTTCTAAACCACTGTACGAACAGCTCTAAACGACAACAAATTTCTCCGCTAGTGAACATAACCTCCGACAAGGGACCTTTTGTATTGCTGCATCAGTTTTGATGACAGCTTCATTTGTTGCAGCAAGATGTGCGTGCCCTGCCACGGAACATCTTATGTTTCCTCGCATTCTTCACAAAACATTCATGCTATCAGTCACTGTTGCCTTTGACTCCCATTTGCCACCATACATCACCTGCACTGTGCAATGAATGTCGACACGCTTCCGCCATTAGGCACCGGATCACCGTTCATTGACCCGCCTTTGACAGATTCCCAATCACACCAGCCAAGTTGTCGGTGTCTAATGCATACTAGACATGTGAGAAGAATGAAAGTTTGTTCACTTGTGCTTTGGTCTACACTTATCATGATAATTGCAGCATAATCGATCGGGCTTCTCATGCACCTATCTCTACGGTGCAGCACAGACAGGTGTCATTTAATCATACCATGTATGTCGGATCCATAGTTGTAGCTCGATAGCCGACAAATACTGCATATACCAAATTCCATGTATTCATTTTTCTAGGTTTGCGATGCCGATCTGAAGATCCTCAATTTTGACGCCACCTTTCCTGGATCTGTTCACGATTCTTTTGTGTGGCGAGCGTCTTTGCTTAAGGAAGAGTTTGGAAAAGAAAACCTGGTAAAAGAAAACGAGTGCTTGCTTGGTAAGTAGTTTGCTTCTTTTTACATGCCTTGATTTTTTAGCAAGGTCTGTTTCATAGGTGTCAGAACTAATCCACAAACATATTTAATGCTAAGTGAAAATAGAAGTTCCCCAAATTTCTGTTTGTTTTTGGTTACTAGCTGTCATCATAGCTTGACAGGTGTTTTTTTGGCACTGTGGTTTGGCCATCTAAATATCTTTAGCTACAAGCTACCAGATAACCGGCACTGGTCGACAAGAGGAAGGAAAAGCTGGCAATAGTTGATATACTTTGTTCCACCATAACTTGGTAAACGGCAAATACTACGGTTCAAGTGAGCCATTCAGTGTCTGAGTGTGGCATGTGACCGCATACTATCAGAGTGCCCTTGTCCAGTGGGGAGGAGGTATGCAGCTCTGATTGGCTCATAGGAAATGCAGCCCTTGTCTTTTGCTAGGTAATGGTGAAGTTGCAAATAGCCCATGTCTACTTCCGTGAGTAAAAGCATAGGTACACTACAATTTTTACTAACTTTAGCTACAGAATCTCAGTGATTTCTGAGCCTTGCAAGACATTGTCTCTTCTTAACACAGAATGTGTTTATACACTGGTTTGCATGAGAAGACACAGAAAATCGGTTTGCATGGTTTGTGTATCGGTTGGTGCTCAGCACCAAGGAAAGGCTCGGACAAGGCTCGGGCTGGCTGTCGGCCAATGTTCCATTTATTGGTCACGTGCTGCGTGGTGAATGCGCACCTGCAGACAATGTTGCTAGGCCTATTGCTGATACATCCCCCTCTCTCTATCTTTATGGCTTTTAATAAATCACCAAAAGGGCAGAAACCAACTTCACAGGGAAAACTGACTGACAAAAAGGCTTCACCTCAAAAGGCAGCATCCCCAGACCAGAAAGATGATGAGGTTGCTAGACCCATATGCCGATACAGTGTGGGCCATGACCACATTACTTCGACAGATTCTTTCAGTGCACGACGACTCGGTCTTGTGTACCTCGAATCGTCAGGTTCAATTTTGTAGTACATCTATTAAGACAAATCATGGCCGTGAAAATTTAAGACTTGCCTTAATCATTCCGACAAACCTAGAGAGCGCAGAATATGTTGTGTATGCATTATTTATACATTCTTCTGTTATGAGACATAATATGCACACCAGCACATTGTACTCTCATTGTTTATCACAATGATCAGACATGTTTTTGGCAGGGCAAGTAACATTGAATATTTATTTTCTTCTAGATTCAGTTTTGCACTGCAGGTTCTTGGGAAATGTTATGACACCCTACAAATAGAGCCTGCATCAGCGTTAAAAGCCTCTAACAGAAGTGTAATTTCAGAGTTATGCCCAAACATTCATGTCAAACTCCGTCACATTTTTGTGCACAGGTGACAGTGGTTATCCCCTGGAACCGTGGCTTCTTACTCCGATCCCTGGCCGCCCTGCTGAGCAGACACCTGAAGCTGAATTCAACAAGAGGCATCGTTCCACACGCTCTATTGTGGAGCGCTGCATAGGCATGTTGAAGAACAGATTCAGGTGTCTGCAGAGGTACCGCGCACTGCATTACGATCCGGACAGGGCGTGCAATATCGCCACGGCATGTGCCATCCTGCACAATGTGTGCTTGTATAGCACAATTTCAGAGCCTTCCCCCGAGCCCCTCGTGTCCGAGGAGTCCGACTCAGAAGACTCGGAGTCAGACAGCAGCGACAGCGACACCAACACCAGGAGCCTGAGAGACAGGGGGCTGGCAATGCGGCAGCGAAAAGTGAGAGAGGTGGCTGTCAACACTCGTCGAGCACGGCCCGCACCCCGAGCACGGCCCGCACCCCGAGCACGGCCCGCACCCCGAGCACGGCCCGCACCCCGAGCACGGCCCGCACCCCGAGCACGTCCCGCACGCCGAGCACGACCCATAGCCCAAGCACGTCCCACTCATCGGTCTCGCCCTGCACAGCCATGAAGCTAAATGCATGTGCCTACCTATTCTGCCCCCCATACCAGTCGCAGAAGAAACCTAATGAGGTCACCCTCCAGTCTTGGGCAGCAGCACGATAGGTGGGCATGTTCCAGACTGTGCCATAGAAAAGTTAGTTAGTGCCAATTAATGTTGTTTGTACCTTTCCTTCATCTATGTTGTTCTTAACTTCTCAGTCCCTTTCCATCCACGTTGGTCACTGTACAATCATCATACTAAGAGCAAATTATCACAAGCGAAAAAATGTTTCTCCTTTTGGTTGACTATAGTTTAAAGGGATGGCAAATCGAAACTTGGATTTCAAAAGAACAATGCAGGAGATGTAGGCGGGATGCTACAATCTCTACAACACTGCTCGTAAGGCGATATCTCGAATGGACAGCCGTATATGTGGAAAAAGAGGTTGAGATTAAACGAGGCTAACGAGGCGCATGACGTGAAGATATCTTGTTTCCTCCTCTCCTCACTTCGCTCCCGCAAGGCAGCGAGGCGTAGAAGACGCAAGGCCGTTCCCTCTCTTCAGAAAAACAAGACGTAAACATTTCTGTCAAATGCGCATCCTTTTTTTGAAAAATACGGTCATCCATTCGAGATATCGCTGTACGAGTGATGTTTTGGTGTTCGTAGCATCCCGCTGCACCCTTTTGCCGCGTGTTTTGTGGAATCCAGATTTCGGGTTAGCATCCCTTTAAAGTGGTTGTCCGGAAAAATTGTTAGTTCAAGAAAACTATTTAATTTGGTCATCACCGACTTTAGGAACACCTTCCGCACAAAATTTAGATTTATCCTCCACGGCACCAGTAACCCAATTTTAAAAGTGCTCAAATCACGTTTACAAATAAACGGCATTTTTGGCTGGAAACATGGAAAGCTCATACATCACATCATGCAAAGAGGTTTTTGACTATTTCTCTTCGTGTTTTCTTCACTGCTGTTGAACACCCATAGCATTGTATTTCAACGCCTGCAATATTGATTTTACGCGTTTTGCAAAGTCACACAATGGAGGACATCAGCCATTTCTATTTGCGAAATTCGGCTTGCACTTACATATTTATGCTTGTAACAAATTCAACTATTGAGACTTTGTACAATGATACAACTTTCATTTTTAAAGACTCTGATAGATAAAAGAATAGATATAAGATTTGCATAACATCTGCAACATGTTTTTTTGTGTGCAATTAAAGAAATGACAAACAAAATGGCCTCTGCAGACAGCTTTTATTCCGAACGGGGGTTCAGGTTACGGACGCCCATCAGATGGAGCACCAGAGTTGTGAGGGATGCAGACTGCTGGGCAGCAGCAGCTGCTAGTCCCTCCACAGCCTGAAAACAGTGAAAAGAAGAATACTCTTTGAACAGCATGCTAGCTAAATGTAAGAATGGGTTAGTGGTGTTATGAACCCGCAGTAGTGTTTGGCATGTCACTGCCTTTACCTTTCATCATATCTAGCCTGCAGCAGTAGCAGCATGTTTGAATAAGCCCTTTAAGGCCTCTCGTTCAGCGAGAGCTTAAGTTTGAAAGACCTGTATAGTGCGTGGGCCTTTCCTTTGAAATTGATTCAGGGCTCCTCGGCCAGAATCGGGTTCCCTACTCTTCCGACATGGCTCCTTGTGATGCCCGGCTGTTTCCGAAGATTAAAATGCCGCTAAAAGGAACCCGATTTGAGTTACGTGAAAAACTGACGAGAACTGACTACACCTCACTCGAGCTGACTGCCTGCGACTCGCATTTTCGGGGGGCCAGGTAAAATTCACGCATGTGCATTAATGTTCCCTTCAACTTCCCTCCAGAGGACGCTGTTAGCGCTTCATTTGTTTCTGTGTAACAAATTCAGGTCGGATACGTTTTGAACAGACCTTGTAGGTACTGTGTTGTATAGTTGTAAGTACATGTGCAGGTGGCGGCAATATGAACTGGGACGGAAAGGTTCTAGTCGTAGTGGCGACAAAAACAATACTATCACAAACCTTAGATTAGATGTCTGTTGTCTGCAAACATGTCAGAAAATGAGAGCTTGGCCTAAATTAAATTTTTCTAGCTCTCCAAACTGAAAAAAAATACTTACACTTGTAAGGCGACCGAGTGCATCGGTCGCACCCCTTTGCAGCCGCAAAATCTCCTCTAGGGCAGCACGGATGCCCTGCTGCGCAGCCAGGAGCTGAAGCTGGGCAGCCAGCTGCTGCTGCTGTGCGGCTAGCAGGTCCCTGGCCGAACACGCTTGCCCAGGCCGCGCTCGTAGAGAACGAGGCGGCAGGGCACATGGTGGCTGGTGCACTGCCAACACGAAGCACATTTTTATATGATTCAAGATATGTAATTTTGTGTTTCCTCATACCATTTTGTGGCGGCGCAGCTGCCACCTCTTCAGGCAATGCCGCTTCAGGCGTGTCCTCCGCCTCGCTGTCTTCTGCTGGGGAATCCTGTATGTTGGGTGAAACTGGAGTTATCATGTTGTCAATTCTCTTTGCTTTAGCCTCTGTCTTTGCACTATTTTTGTTTTAAGACTGAACTATTAATTGACCAGATTATCAAGGTTTCTCGAGTTAGAAAAACGGTACATCAACTGGGGTGTTCTTCCACAGTTATGAGTCGATGTACTGTGCAGTATATCCAGTCATAACTGTACCTATGAAGGTACAGTTGTCACGATGGACTGTGGCATTTCTGACAGTCCTAACAACACATACTGCGTTTCCCGTTCACAATTACCACATCACGAGGTCAGATACTGGGATACCTTAGCTGCACCTGCGATTCCATGTACTTACCGTGGCTGCAGCAGTTGGATCAGCCTGTGGCGATGGGTCAGGCTGTGGCGTTGTGCGAGGTGCCACTGGTGCCAGGCGCCTTCCCCCGCAGCCTCGGGACGAATCAGTCCCCACGAGGGATAATATTCTCTCTTCCTCGGCGCTCAGCGGAGGGACGGGGTTGACACCCCCACCGGTCCGCTGGGTGGCACCGGACAGGTTCAAGTCCCTTCGGCGCGCCGCGCACACACGGGCATTCCAAAATGCCTTCCACTCGGCCCGGCTTTTGACCGACGGGCCCTCGAAATTGAGTTCTCGGACAATGATGTCCCACAGGGCAGTTCGCTCTTCCTTGGATAGCGGACTATCTGTGGCGGCCCTAACAAGGACAGGGTTCGCCAACAGATAGTCTAGGAGTAGAGCGAACTGCCCCGGGGACACACGGGCCCCGAGCCTCCTCCTCTTGGCGGCGTTGTCGGCGCTGGCCATCCTTTGCCGAGTCGAAGCAGAAGCGTTGGTCAAAGTCTAGTCTAACGTCAAACAAAAAAAAAACCACGAGGTCGTCTCAGGGCAACAACCAAAGCAAGAACAACGGCAACAACAAACTCAACTCCCGAATCCGGATTTTCCAACGTTGCCAAGACCACAATTAACGACCGGCTGCAGTTCGTGCGAATAAATATTATTGTCACTCAAGTAAAATGCACAATTGGTGCGAATAGAATTCAGTTTATGTTATTCTATTTTAATTGAAGCAGGTTCTACGTTTTTTCAAACCTAAAAGTAATATTTTTACAATTCCCTTCACTCGGTGTTTCACAATTCCCTGTAGGGACAGTTTTGGGGAAAATTCCCGATGAAGTTTCAACTTAATCGTTCCTCTTGACCGACGTCACGGTAAAGTTGGCTCCCCAGTGGAGTTTGCCGGCGATGAAGTTGGGGCTCCTCCCACCGGCGACGTCACGATGAAGTTTCTTCATCGCTTTTTCCAGCATAGACAGACTGATCTAGAGTCTGTGCACGTTTTCGTTACGTCGGCAGTTAGGCAATTGATAATCGGTGAATTTTATCAGGCGCCAAATTGGGATTCGTATTATTGTGGTAATCTGTACTCTGTTTTGCTTCAAATCTAGGAAATTTTTCCGAAAGCGCATTTTCTAATCTTTGGTGATTTTAATTTTCCGAGCAGGGACAGGTTAATTATATCACAAGTGGGACAAATGACGCTAAAGAGTTTCTCGATAATTGGTTGAATTTCAACCTCATTCAAGTTGTTGATCGGCCCATTCGTGGTGATAATATTTTTGATATTGTCCTCACTAGCTATCCAGAAGCCATATAAACTGTTACCTGTGTTGCTGGTTTAAGTGACCACAATACACTGCTTATTGAGTTATCTGTTCCGGTCTTCACACAGATCTTCACGATTAAAGCAGTCCGCGACTATAACAAAGCTAGTCACGTGGCAATAAATCGCCACTTATCTGTGTCATACCAAATTTACCCCAAAAACGCTTTGTTAAGGTTGATGGTAAAAAACTAGCTACTTTTTAAAAACAAAATTGAATGGTCTTACCGAGCAGCTTGTTCCCATTGTCACTATACGTACCTCGGAGAATAACCCCTGGCGCAATAAAACCTTGGGTTCATTCAATGTCAAAAAAAAGCGATTGTGTAAAAGAACGAAATGGCTGAACGTTGATTTAGTTTGAAATGAGTACTTCGCGTGCCTCAAAACTTATACGAAAAGTGTAGGAATGTCAAAAAATATATTATCTTTGGACCGACTAAGAATTTTACGTACATATCCTGAACAGTGTTAATAAATATTTTCGCCTAGAGATACCACTCATTCGATACGACTTCAGAATAAAAATGGAGTCGCTGTTTCTGAACTTCATTGCTCTAGTGTATTAAATAACTATTTCCCTTCTGTGTTTACCTGTGAATATACCGACGATATGCAATATTTGCCCTTGTCTGACTTTGTAGCTATGGCTCCCATCGACATTTCTGCTGATAGAATACTTCACCTCACAGAATGATTAAAACTAACGTCCTCTTGTCCTCATAATATCAACCCGAAAATTCTTAGTAACACCAAATTTATATCTAGTGAGTGTCTTAACTTGATCTTTTGTCAGACATTGCTGCAAGGTTGTTTCCATTGGATCGGAACCTGGACAAGGTCGTTTCAGCCACTAAAAACGGCGATCGGAAGCTATCCTCCAATTACTCTTCCATCTCATTAGCCTGCATCACGACCAAAATTCTTGAACATGCAATATA